CCTTTGCTCACGACTGTTGTGCACAACCCTTCTTTTTTGTTCATTATCGTTATCTGTCTTTCTGTTCCTTTTGCTTCTCTAATTCATGCAAACTCCATGATATGATTGATTGACGGCACATCCACGTAGACGATCCAAGACCGGCCACTCTTTTTATTTGGCAGCCATCAATCAGTCCGTCGTCATCCGCGGCCCATCAATCTATCCGTCCAATCTGCTCCAAACGTTCGGAGGATACGCTTATTCACAGTACTGCTGGAGATGTACTACTACAATACCCTTCTGGTGCTATTTACCGGCGCATCACTATGTGTGGCATCACCGGGTGCCAGGGATACCAGGGTCGGTTTGCAGAAGTTGAGGGATCGGACAGGATCTGGTCCCTCATCTCAACAGCTTGAGCTGAAGCGAGATGCAACCCCCTTCCAGTCGCAGTCTTATGTCACTGTAACTCAAGATTCCATAACAGATGTAGGTTATGGTAGTGAATAGTTTCTGTGGAAGGAGCTATGCTGAGGATATAAAGATTACAACGGAGTACGCAGTAGTGACTTCGTATGGCTCAGAGGTAAGCTAGAAGTTTTGTTCCTTGTATTCGGCTAGAAGACTAATGATATCTCCTTATACAGGCCCCGGTGGTTGTGACGGAGACGATCGTTTCTCAGTCGACAATACAGCAACCCGCTCCAACATCCCCTACATCATCTAGTAAGTTCATTTGCATTTGGAGGGGCACTCTGTGTATCTGATCTAAGTCTACAAAAATAGCTTCGGAAGCCCCATCATCAACGTCCCAACTTGGCCCAGCAGAAACGTCAGCCCCTTCATACACTTGCCAAGATGGCTTCTTTCTTTGCGCTGCCGAATTTAACGGTACGAACCCTCTCTGTTGTAGTGTAACATGTATCGTTGCTAATAATCATATGTCTATAGGGGGGTGCTGCGGGAATGGATATACTTGTGCAATAGATAGCTGTATCCCACCGCCGACTGCAACAGGGGATCATCTATTTTGTGCTACTGGATTATATTTGTGTCCCGCAAACTCACAGTACGGTTGCTGTCCAGGTGGTTATGACTGTGGTATCAGTGAATGCTCAATTATCGGCCCGACGGCTGGAGTAAGCAGCACCCTTGCGAAAGCCTCAGCTCCAAATCTTCTGGCAAAACAATCCATTATGACAGCTAGCCCTTCGAGTACACCTACATCTACCCCTGGCCCAAACCCAGTGTCAGAAATTTCTCCTGTTACAATCGGTGGTATTGTTGCCGGATGCCTTGTCGGGATCTCTATCTTCGTCTTTCTGGGTTGGTACACGTACCGTAGAGTGGGGTCCCGTGGGAACAATGATCCACCTGGGGGAGTAACAACAACAAACTATTACGACCCGACAGCTTCAGTTTCAAGAACTCCGGGCAGCAGCTCATCAACTCGTTACCATACTGTTACGCAAGATCATGGGTACTTTCCGAAGATGCCTTTTAAACAGAAGACAGTCCCTTCTCAAGTCTTGCCCCCTCAAAACGGGGGGGTAGAAATGGCCCATAACACTGCTTCTTATCCAGCACAACAAGGTCAGGTAGTATGGGGAAACGGGAACCATAATCATGTCCCTGTAGAGCTACCGGGCCTGGATCGACAGGAACCGATATATGAGGTTGAGGGTACGAAGCTGAAGGGCGCAAATAGATGGAGTAGGGCTTTTTCGAGGCAGAGAGGTGGCCGATGACTAGTTGGCTGAGTTTTATACTTTCATAGTTTCCATCTCGGTTTAAAGGTTGAGCATTTCCATCTTCGGTTCTCGCATTTTTGGGACTTGTTCACGTCTGTCGTTTCTTGTAAAACAGCATTGGTCTTCTTGGTCTTCTGTGTTATTTTAGAGCTACAATCAGTATTTCTGGGTTTCCCTCGTTGTTTTTGGTTGTTAAGAGACTTTTTCATTGTTGTTCTTGGGAGTACCTTGATTATTTTCCTATGCTTTATTTTCTTATATTCAATCTTTATTTCATGTTTGTGACTACAAATGTATCAGCTTGAATTTCTTAGGATTAGTATTTCATATTAATTCCCTTTGTCTGGACTGTATTGAAAATCAAAAGTTGGGTGATTGTATCGTCATTGTCGAAAATTGAATCACAACTTATCACTCGTCAGTGCTTCTGAGCAGGGGGTACCGGCAAAAATCCTTTACGAGCAATGCCGGAGAATAAAGTCTCTGTGATATCCGTACTTGGATCGAGAGCTGGCTTTGAGTGGGCGCTTTATACCCCTTGGGTATTTCTGAGGTCAACAAGTATACGTATCGTACTAGTGCCTATGTACTGAGTGGGTGTGATGTCTTTCGATGCTATCACCACGAAGCCAAAGTATTTCCGGTCACCCCGCCCCTCACCTATAGATAAACCGCGATCGGTAGGAGGTAGTAGGGTTTCCATTGAGAGTTAGATCTCCGCCTCTATCGATCTAGGTTCCTGGCCATGCCCCCGGCGACGGGGAACGTCGTTTAGCCTGGTAATATATGTTTTATGCTCTGTTCTGATCTTAGGGGTCAGGGTGCTGGGCGTTATCGATACTCTGCTCTGCTCAGGTCGGTGATGGTCGGTATGTCCGTGTAACTAGTATTTACCACTTTCCGACGTCATGCAGTCCTCGCCGATAGAGGGAGCTACATGTAGCTATAGGTACGTGACGGAGGTGGCCCTTGCGTACTGCGGGAAAACACTGCTTCGTTGGTCCTGCTATTGGATGCGGCGCCCCTAACTGTACTCCGTGGCTGGCAAAAATTGTTCTTTGATGATGTCCTGTTGAAGCTGGTTACAGAATGGGTGGTTGGATTTGAGGGTGGCATAGGCACCGGAGTCGATGCAAATCCAGGAGTTTTGGCGGCTGCAGTGGATGTTGTCCAAGTGCAAGTGCGGACTGCTGCAATGATGTGCTGAGACTACACAAGAGCGGTGTACTGATCTGGGCTGGGTGGGTTAACTGGCTAGCTGGATTGGGTTAGCACTACTAATCCGCTCCGAGTGATTTTCTGTGATACTCCGTAGCAGAGAGTTTCTCGGCCTCTGTCGTTGTGAGAGATGTGTTTTCCCCGGCCGGTTCCACGTAGTGAACGAACAAATCCCAAGGCAAAGCGTCCCGGCCATATCACTGCAGTCCCACATCGTTCAATTGGGGGGGTTGGCTAGCGTTCTCCCTAGATCTAGTCTCGTGTCCATCCGCTATGGACAGTGATCTAGATCTGCTGTGACGTTCGCGCCGGGTCTGCAGTCGGGAGGATATGTACAACCAGCCTTGCCCATCTTATATACACGTCTATCGACTTCCGGCTAATATATTGATAGAAACAAGGGCTGGGTAAATTAATGATATTACGTACACACCCGCCCCGGTTTCTACTCTACTGGCATCAACGCTTGCATGGCCCTGCAGGCCTGGAGGTTTCACACATAGCCACTACACCAGGTATGTAGTTACACACAAGTGAGCTGGGGGGACGCCCGCTAGAAGGTACGCCGGAGCTGCCGCTGTTACTGGGGGTTAGTCGGTACTCACCGCTCCCATTCCATGGTCCGGCCCCACGCTCAACGCTGCCTAGATGGATACTAACGGTTCAACAGATGGTACCTGGCTGCTTGTTGTAATATATACTTGCGTCTTCGAGCGTACTAGCTACCGGGCTGGTGCGGGCGTGGTACGCTGCAGGCGAGGATAGCAATGTGTCTCTGACATCTGTTTGTAGCGACAGGCAGGGAGTAGATACTGTCAACAACCCCCCCCCCCCCCTCTCCTACCCCCGCGACTAACTCTAGATACGCCGCACATCTCTTCCATCTAGATGGATCAACGACACCTAACTCGCTAGTGCTAAAGGCGTCTCTTAGGTCTAAGCACCCCAGGGTCATATATTAGTATACTTACTATCAATAGTACGGCTGCCATCTACACCGTCCCCGCCGTCCGCCAATGCTGTCTTTCAGCCGGATATTATTGTCGATGCTTCCCCATGACTATTCTCAGCGGACACACGTAGGGAGAACACTTGCCTCCAATGCATATGCGACAACTACACCACTGCTACATGTATCAGAGTTCCGACCAGAGGAGGGATGGGGCGGACTGTTGGTATTTATATTACCTTACCTGTGCACGGCAGCAGTGAAAGCTTTGCGACATGTTGGTGTGGGTGCGGCCAATTGAAGTGTCAAGGTTAAGGCCGCCAAACAATCTTAGGGAAATCCACTTGGAATAGGCGCGCCAGAAGGGACGAGGCGGCGGGTATTCCCACTCGATTGCTCACTAAATACTACCGGCGACTACGAGTCTACTAGTCTACCAGTCATGCTTGAAAGTCATGAAGCAAACCCGTCGCTTAGCTAATCCTTCGTATACCCCAAAATCTCACGTTGAAACACGCCTCGCTAGCTCAATCGGTAGAGCGTGAGACTCTTAATCTCAAGGTTGCGGGTTCGACCCCCGCGTGGGGCTCATATTCTGAGTTCATTTTTTTCCTTCTTTTCCTCTTTTCCTTTTTTGCTCCAAGTACTCTAGTCACTTAGTGCAGAGTGAGTGATGTCTCGTGAACCAAACAGAGTTTTTTTTTTTGTATGTAGGTTTTAAGTTGGAGGAAGGGTGGGAAGTGGGGGAGGTTTTCAATTAATTGATTAATTAATTTCTTACCTACATACATGACATGACCACACTGCTGGAAGCCAGCCAGCCATATCGCTCGCTCGGTCACAGCAGTATCGTATCCAGCCAAAACTAAAAAAAAATAGAGAAAGCAGTAAAAAAAAAAAAAAAAAAAAAAGTAACGCTATAACCACCACAAACTCCACAAACGCGCAAAAACCGAGAGAGCAAAGAGCAAAGAGCAAAGAGCAAAGAGCAAAGAGCAAAGAGCAAAAGAAACCACCAAAAGAAACCGGCCAATAACAACAACACACAAAAAAAAAGCATATACACACCACTATCCCCCCCCCCCCTCCTGCCACCACCACTACAACCCCCTCTCGACAAACCTCCTCACCCTCTCGCGCACCTCCCGCATGCCCATGCCGCCCTTCAGCACCCTCCTCTGCTCCCCCTCGCTGCCGTCGAGCTTGTCGGTCCACACGGCGTCGCCGCTCACAGGGTCAATCTCCAGCCGCACGCCGTCGAGGAAGAGCATGCTCCACCAGCCCGTGTGCTTGTCGCGGCGGCACCAGCCGATGGTGGGGACAAATGTCGTGGCCACGTCGATGGGGAAGGGGATGTATTTACTGTGCGCCGCCGCCGCCGCCGCCGCTGCTGCTGCTGCTGCTGCCTGCGGTGCTGGGTCAGGTCGGGTGTGAGTGTGAGTCCGTGGCGCCTTCACCGGCGGCGTCACCGTCGAAGCAGCACTGTGCTCCTCCTCCTCCACCACCCCCGCGCCCTCCTCCTCCTCCTCCTCCTCCTCCTCCTCCTCCTCCAGCACCCGCCAACACGCACTCCACATCCTCTGCGCCCGATCCACCACCCCCTCCCACCGCACGGCACCCACATCGCGCACCCTCCGCCCGCCAACCCACACACGCACGCGCTCCCCCCTCGCGCCGTCAATGCGCACCAGCACCTCCTCCCCCCCGCCGCCCTCGCGCGCCGCCTCGAAGCGCCCATCGGCCCAGCGCCGCCCGACCCACACGCCGCCGCCGCCATGCTTCTCGCGCGCCTCGACGCGCCCCACAAGCGTCGACCGCTGCACGAGGCCCACAAAGGCCTTCGCGTACCGCAGCGCCGGCAGGTGCTTCAGCGGCAGGTCGGCGAGCGCGTACGTGCGCGTGGTGGGTGAGGGGCCGGCGGTGGTGGTGGTGATGGTGATGGGCCGCCCGTGCGGCGGGATGGTGTATGTGTGGTGGGAGCTGCCGCGCAGCGTGGCGGCGGGGCGGAGGTTGAGGGTCAGGTGTCCGGGCGTGGAGGGGGACGTGGGCGTGAGCGTTAGTGTGGCGGTGCGGGAGTGGTGGGTGAGCGCGGGGAGGTGCGAGAGGGTGAAGGTGTAGTGCGCGATGAGGTCGGCGGTGGTGGTGGGCTTGCTGCTGGCGGCGCGGCGGGGGGGCTTGGGGCTTGCGGGCGCTGGGGTGGGGGAGTGCGCGGGGGGAAGGAGGGCCTCGAATTGGAGGCGTAGGTGCCGCATGTGTTCGAGCGGCGAGACGTCGGGGTCTGCGGGCGCGGGGGCGAGCACGGGGGTGGGCGAGAGCTTGCTGGGGCGTCGCGGGGGTGCAGTGGCGGCCCTGTGGACGACGGGCGACGGCGTGGTGCCTGTGGCGAACCTCTTGTGCAGGCGGGACAGCGGCGGGGCGGGCAGCGGCGTTAACTCTGGGTCCGGGTGGCCGTGCGAGAGGATGCTGCTTGCGGAGGGCTTTGTGTTGCGGCGGGGGCGGGGGCGGGGGCGGGGTGCGTCTGTAGTTGCGGTAGTTAGTTAGTAGCTGTAGCTGTAGCTGTCATTGACACCCCCCCACTCCCCCCACCAGGTAAGGCAAGCAAGCAAGCACAAGGCAAGGGAAACACACCCGCCATGCCCCCCCCCTCTTCATCCGTCTCCTCCGTCACCTCCTCAATCACGCTCGTCCCCCCCCTCCGGCCGCCAAGATACTCCTCCTCCAGCGCGCGCAGCTCCTTCTCGCGCATGCGCCGCTCGCGGTGCAGCTGCGTGCCCGGCGATGCCCTCGTGCCCGTGCCCGTGCTCGAGGTCCTGGTAGCTGCTGCTGGCCCCTTGCCGTCGCGGTAGATCTCAAACTCGGACTTGCGGCGGGCTCCTCGCGGGGTGGCGTCGTCGTCGTCGGCGGCGGCGCTCATGAGGTCGTGCAGGGAGGGGAGGTGCTGGCGGGAGCGGGGCATTGTAGCGGTGCCGGTGCCGGTGGAGGTGGAGGTGGTCGTTGTTGCTGTTGCTGTGGCGGAGGTGGTTTCGGTCTCTGTTTCTGTGCTGGCCATTGCTGGTGGTGGTGTGGCGGGGTGGTGGGGGGTTTCTGTGCTGGATTGGTGATGCTGCTGGCTGTGCTGTGCTGTGGTGTTTGGCCGCCTGATTCTGTCACTCTTCTTCGGGCTGCACTGCACGGCTGAGGGTTCTGAGATGTTCGGCTACGGCTACGGCTACGGCTACGGTGAGTAAACAAAGAATCGCGCGGGTCACGTGCAGGGGGCGGGTAACGGGCAGACGCGTCCGTGGTTGGCGTGGGCGTGGCACAGGAAGACGTCATCTCTTGTCTGGGGGAGAGGCTGCATTCCGGGGCGCAGATTAGATACTGGACTGGACTGGACCGTAGAGATAGACAGAAGACTGCGTGCTCGTCTCGCGCTCGATTGAATTCCCTCACAGCTGCACCACCCCCCCAGCCACACACCCCAGCCACACCCCGTCTGCGTTGGCCACCCGCTGCGCCTCGCGGTGTGCATCTCATCACAACAACACACAGCAGCCGGTTGCTGTTGCTGGCCTCTTCCCTGCATTCCCTGCCTTCTTTCTTTCTCTCTCTTCTCTTTCTCTCGCTCACTCACTCATTCACTCACACCTCACCACTGCCAGCATCTCCATCTGTCTGTCTGTCTGTCGGTCTGTCTGTCTGTCTGTCAGTCAGCCAGCCATCTATCTATCCCCCTCTTCTCTCCTTCTATCTCTGCTCTCCCTCATCCTCTCCTTGAATCCATCCATCTGCACCATCAATCAATCGGTGTCAATCGCGTCCTCTCCCACAAACACGATACAGACAACCGCCACCACCATAACAATGTCGTCAACAACAGACTACTCCAAGCTCAAGGTCACCGAGCTCCGCGAGGCCCTCCAGAAGCGGAACCTCCCCACCGTCGGCGTCAAATCCGAGCTCGTCGCGCGCCTGGTTGCCGCAGACGCATCAGCGGACGCTCCCTCGCCCGCCGCAAACAAGAGCCATCTCCCCACCGCCGACGACTACGACGTCGACTGGGACGACAACGACGACCCCGCGCCCGCCGCCGCCGCTGCGACCCCCAACACCACCACCACCACCACCGCTGCCACCACCACCACCACCATAGCCGCCCCCGCGACTGCCACCGCGACAGCACCCAAACCAGAGCCCACACCCGCCGCTGCAGCACCCGCTCCAGCGGACCCCGCAAAGCCAAAGAAGAAGTTTGCCTCCATCGCGGCGCTCTTTGACACGGCGACGCCCACCACTGCTGCCGCCCCGGCAAAGAGCAAAGACGCCACTGGCACGCAAAACTCGCAGTCGCCGTCCTCGCCATCGACCGTCACCGACGAGGCTGCGACCAGCACGACTGCCGCCGCCGCCGCGACAACCAGCGCGCCAAAGGCCGAGGAGCCCTCGTTTGCCGCCGGCCTCTCCGCATCGACCCTCGATGTAGAACTCGAGCGGCGCAAGGCCCGCGCCAAGCGCTTCGGCATCGACGACGATGCGGCCGTCACCGAGGCGACAAAGAAGCTCGAGCGCGAGAAGCGCTTTGGGAATGCCGGCGCTGAGGACGCGCCGGAGAAGAAGAAGGAGGTTGTCAAGGGCCTCGACTCGGCGCTCCCCGACCGCCGGGACAGGAAGCGTGGCGCGCCGCCAGCCCAGGACACCAGGGGCGGGAAGAGGACCAGGGGCGGCAACAATGGCGCCGGACGTGTCGAGCAGAGGGGCGGTCAGCCGAGGAGGGCGCAGGCGCCCGCCGCCGGTGTCCAGAAGAAGGGCGGCTACAAGGCTATTCTGGACGACCCGGCGGAGAAGGCGAAGGCGGAGGCTAGGGCGAGGAAGTTTGGGGTTGCCTAGTCGAACGGACGGACGGACGGACGGACGGGGTGGACCATTTTTTTTTTCACGGTTTTTTTTTTTTTCTTAGTTAATATATAGCTTCAGTTTATGAGATTTCTTCTTTTTTTTGTTTCTTGGTTGTGTTTTTAACAAAAAATAACGCGTCTTTTTTTCTGTGTATTGTCTGCTAGATTGTAGTAGGTAATCCTAGGTGGGTGGGCCGGTGGGTAGTTATGAAGACCTCGAGCTCGAGTATGGGGAGTATGGGGAGGAGGAGGAGTGTAATTGTTTTGCATTTCCCTCAATTGCACGAGCGCGCTCAATCTCTCTCTCTCCAAAAAGGAAAAGAAAAAAAAAAAAAGGAGTATGTACTGTATGCTATGGACCCCTCAATCGATGAGTAGTAGTAGTAGTAGTAGTAGTAGTAGTAGTAGTAGTAGTAGCAGTATTTAGTTAAGTCTGGATCAACACGGAAATCAAAATAGCGCAGAAGAAAAGATGTAGATCTAGACTTATGTCTGCTTTTGCGGGACTCGGGGGGGAAAAGAAAAAAGGAGAAACACAATCGAATCGAGATGCAGCGTATCAGCTCAGGGTGTTGGGCTGGGCTGGGCTGGGTGGGGAACAGCACTTGGGCTTGTTGTGTTGACCAGGGCGATATATATATGTGGAGTAGGCACACAGCTCATCAGTGGTGTCTGTACTGTACTGGGTGGTTGTTTGTAGCATTGTAGTTGAAAAGACTCTTTCTACATATATATAGCTACATGTAGTTATCTAACACTCCGTTCGGCAACACCCCCCAATATATACCTATCGTGAAATATATCGAGATAATATTGCAAGTGGTAGTACTAGTGTTCTGGCAAATTAAACCACAAAATATCAACTTTCTCAATCCTGCTATGTATGTACATGTATCTGCCCAATATATCACGATTAAAAAAAAAAAAAAAAAAAAAAAAAAAAAAAACATATTCCTCTCCAACCTAAATATTTGGAATAGCACCACTCAACCCACCAAGTACATGTATGTACATGTACCTACCTACCCCTCTACACCCTAGCGTCCCAAACTTAATTGCAATTGTGGTACGGTTGCAGCCCCCGAACACGCCCCAAATTGTAACCCACAATATAATACCGCCATAACTCGATATATACGGCCGCCGGTCCTGTTTCACGATATATTCGGCCGTCTTGGCACACACACATATATATATATATATATATGTGTGTGAGATTCTTTCTGGAGGTAGTTGTTGTTCGAGCAACCACGTTTTTTTTTTTTTTTTTTTTTATTTCTGCCAGGTTTTTGTGCAATGCAATCCTGACATGTTCCGTTGCTACATTGGCAGGTGGGTTGCCTAAAAAAAAAATTGGCTAGCTTCTAGAGATCAAAATTACATGTACTTGTATGGGAGGAAAACTTCTGGTGCGGATCGATGCCATTCGCAAATAATCACTGGCCCGGAGATGGCCAATTTTTTTTTTTCGAGTTTTTTGGCGCCGGTATTCACAAATATATATACTAGATCACAAAAATCACATATTTGGCTGTATGTAATTCTTTTTCAGGTTGCATTAACCTCGCCATATTCATATCGTAGTTTTTTGCCGAACGGAGTGTAAAGTAAAGTTGTCATCTAGAGCAGAGCACAGTCGGTGCCTTCGTGGGGAGTACCTATAGTATTAGAAATGGGGGTAAAAACTGATACCGCATCAGTAACGGCATTGTGAGAATATGCCGCTTTATCTCCGTATCTTTGACGAAGTAAACGGTAGTGTTACCGCAGTGGTAGTACGGCATTGCCAAAGACTGCGGTAGTCATTTTATCCATGTTTCTGTCACTGTACCGTACACATGTAGTTATCAGGTCCAACTAACTACTAAAATTAGTAAATAATTATTACAAACGCTTAAGCGGCCGCGCCGTATATGGCAAGTACGGTCCTAGCTTGGTAAATACGTACCAGATATACAATGTAATATTAATGCACCCTGCACATGTAGTCAGCACTCATGGCCAGCTAGGGGAAGCTTACAAGCTACATGTAGCTATATCAGCACCCTAAGCTAGTTTCGGCGCCCCAAATTAAGAGCAAGGATTCCCTTACAATGTCATCGATAAATTTACACGGAAGGGGGCCGGTTGCAGCCCGTTGTTTTGAATTTTTTTTTTTTTTTTTTTTTGCTAACGTGTTAATTCGTGGGGCGGCGGATTTTTTCCCCTACCTACTACAATAATAATACCACCCTAGCTTGGAGGAGCGAGCTGCAATTGGAAGGAGGGTCCTTCAATATATCGGAAGCGTATATACCGGGAGTGAGTTTGGTGAAGAGAAAGGGGAAAAAAAAAAAAAAAAAAAAAAAAAAAAAACTGATAGGATAGGTAGGGACTTGCACGTCAACCGTAAATACAAGCGAGGAGCTAGAGTAGATAGATAGGATATATTCCCCCACGTATTAGCGAATCCCAAAAAAGAATTAAATAGAGTACGACTTCATACCGGCTCGGCCTCTGCTTTTGACTGGAGTTGTCCGGTTCTACTCCACTCTACTATCTGCTCTTGCTAGAGCACTAGCTAGCTAGGTGGTTGACGACGCCGCATCATCACATATTCTTCTTTCCACGCAGGGTCGGTATATATATGCGCTCGGGGAATTTTATTTTGTCAGCGCCAGCCCAACAGTGCCAACCAACGCACCCTAAGCCGACCACCAATCAAACACCCCCCCCCCTCCCCCCGGGGTTCTATACGACAAGGTGTATATTCAGGTCCTCCTCCCTTCTCTTCCCCTTCCTCTCACATCACGTTAGATACAATATCACATTCCCCATTATCTGTCCTGTCCTGGCTGCAGAGTAAACATATAGAAACTTTTCCATTCTCCACGTTCAACGGTAACGGAAAGAGGAAACGAAAGAAGGAATTATTACCTATCCCAACCCACTACTATTGCCTCTCCTCTAGCCAGCTCCCGGGCCCACGCACCCACCTCTCTACTCATGCCGCCACCGCCTGAACATCACCATGAGTATGTGCCTGAGGATCGGATTGAGGCGGGTATGAGTCCGGTTAGTCGGAAATTTTTAAGGTCCTGGGATGGAAAGATTATAGGCTGACTGGACGGTTGCTGCAGGATCGGGATTGGGAGTATGAAGCATCTATTTCAATTCTGTCGCCGATCTGATTTTCCTTGGAAGGAGGGGGGGTGGGAGGGGGGGGGGGGGGGAATGGTTCCGCAGCGCTGGGTCGATAGTTTGATGTGAAAGTTGCGTTAGCTAATTGTGGTGTGGTTGCGTGCGACACAGTGCTTGTAGTGGGAATTCGGCCGCGAATTCGATATTCGAGTATGGCACCTTGTTGTTCTTGAGTGTGTACGCGGAGAGACGATGCTGAGATATATCGGTTGTGTTAGATATCGGTTTGAGAACGGGCGGAGATATCATGCATATCGGGACGGGTATATTCCCCCCCTGTTCACCTTGGCTAGGAGATTGTTGCTCATACATAGGATTGATAGGATATATGCTTTCCCAAACGACGAAGTAACTTTCTCATTTAGGCCACCTATTTTTGTCTGATCTCATCTTACTGGTTCCAATTCTGACGCTTCTATGTGAAAACCATCCAGGCAGAACAGGTTCGGTTGGTTTTCATGGCTCTCTTCTGATCGATTGATATATACCCCCGTCCTTATATATATATATATGAACTCGCTGACATTCGTCGGCGAGCATAGATTGGATATGCTGCATCATATGTGCTTGCTCGTGTTGAGAGGAGAACTACACACTGCCCCAATGTGTCCAAATCCTACAAAGATATTAGATTTGGGTACAGGAACGGGGATCTGGGCGATTGATATGGGAGAGTATGTACCCTGGAGTTGCCCCCATTCTCCGAATTCTCCTCTGATGTGTTCAAAGGCAGTATCCCTCCGCCGAGGTCATTGGCACAGACCTAAGTCCTATACAGCCCAGTTGGTAAAACAACCTTTTTACTCCCCCCCCCCCCCCCCCCCCCCCTTCTTCTTTTCCCGGCACTGATTATCGTCACCTCCAGGGTACCCCCAAATGTGAGTTTCCAAATAGATGATATCGAAAGCGAGTGGGAATGGCCTGAAGGAACCTTCGACATGGTGCATATTCGCTACCTCAACGGTGGAATCAGTGACTGGGCTGCGCTCTTCGCTGAGGCTTATAAGTATGCTCTTCTACCCCCGCTCAATCAATTAGAAATAATTCACTGCTGATTTTTTTCCGAAGGTCATTGAAGCCCGGCGGTTGGATTGAGGTTTGTGAGTTTGAAATGGGTGTGGCCAGTGATGATGGGACGTACTCGGCGAATTCAAGCTTAGCAAAGTATTATGAGCTCACGAATGAGGCCGCTAAGAAAGCTGGTATGTTGTTTGCCTTCCCGTGCTTTTTTTTCCTCGGCTCATGGATGTAAACTCATGGATGTAAAAAAAAAAAAAAAAGGTCGGGGTTTCATAGGTGCCGACACGCTCATCAATGGGATCGAGAAAGCCGGATTCCGGAATTCTACAATGAGGAGGATTAAGGTACCACTCGGTAGTTGGCCAGCCGACCCATTGCAGCGAGAGATTGGAGAGTGTTATTTGATGCTTTCTGAGACTGGATTTGAGGCGTTGGGGATGGCATTGTTGACAAGAAATCTGGGTATGGATCCCAGTGATGTGACAAAGTTGGTTAATAGCGCCAAGCGAGAGCTGTCGTCAAAGAGAATGCATACCTATAATATCCAGTAAGTCTTTGGTTCTTACGGGCTGTAGATTTGAGGTGGTTATTAACGAGGAGTGTGCAGCTTCTTTCTACACGCTCAGAAACCACTTAAATCGTCTGTTTGATTGGTTTCTTTCAGAGCTTGAAGGTGAATGTCTTTCCCAGATAGGCCCTTTGTGGAGGGGGACAATTGCAGGTAGACCGGGTTTGATGCATTCTGATGCATCTTTTCTTTTTCTTTTCTTTTCACTCGTTAATATTTAGGAGTTTTTCTTTTTAGTTTATGAGGTTACGATGGGAGCTTAAACACACCTCCGGTGATAGATTTTCTTGGGGCTACGGATGCTTTATTATAAGCCCGTGTATGGATTTGTAAATCTTGCGATTTCTTCTAGCTGTGAAAATCAAGTATAGTCGAATCTCGCTATAAGGGTACCATTTATAAGGGTAATCGCCCTATAATGGTATGGATTTATGGTTCAATACTTTTGTGTGTAAAATTAAGGGTAAATGGCATGGCCGAATACTTACTATAAGGGTACCCTTAGCAACTTGAATATTTTTTTGGTGAATACCCTTATAGAAAGGGTAGGGCTAGGGTCATATCCCTCCTACAACTCGCAAGTCTCCATTAATTCACAGCCCCTCTATCCATTATTGGGCCGGAAATCAACTTAAATAAACCTAACCCTAAGTTCCCATAAGGGTACCCTCTCTATAAGGGTAAGCTGCGACCCGACCTTCTCGAAATTTCCGTACCCTTATAGCGAGATTTGGTTGTAGGTAGTTAGTGAGCTATCTTGGAATATTGTATGTTACTTCCTGGGGCTCCTTAAGATTCGAGCGGCATAAGATAGAAGAGATTTGAATTTTACTTGCATTAGACCATATCTAGAACATCATACCCTACCCCTTGCGACTACTGACCGATTCGAGGCCAGTCTTCGTAGATAACCAAGGTAATGTACACGCTATAGAGTGCTGAAGTGAAATTAGTACTACGATAAGAAAGCTTAGTGGTCTGGCTATTAATGACGTTGCAAGAATTGGAAAACACTCACATTACCAATTATAAAACCACGTGGGTTTTTGAATTAGCTTTATTTGACACCTATGCATAAAGTTCCTTTAAACCAATGCGTGGCTGCAGAGGGGCTGATCATAAGGATGACCCTATTGTGTCAGCTTTGAAACCTTAATCATGGTTAATCACTCGATAAAGCCAAGACATGCCACCCGCTCTCGGATACAAACGAGATATCATTAAAACGACCGCTTGAGAGGCGAAGTATAAACACAACAATTGTTAAAAAAAAAAACAAGGGTAAAATTGAGTTGGTATAAATATTTAGATACAGCTATCTCTTTTATAGACAGATAGCATTGTGATAGAAAAGGTACATTGTGACAGAAAAGGGAAAAGGTACATTAATACATCTAGCTTACGATCGATATGAAAAACCCCGCTAATTGATGCGTATTCTGATACGTATACCTATACCTGACTCATTCGCTTTAAGCCTCCATGGATCCAACCATTATTCGTACAGCTTGCAAGCTATCCCATACACCATCACCATGCACCATACACCATCACCATGCACCATACACCATCACCATGCACCATACACCATACACTGTAAACCATAAACCCCCCTCACTCCCCTCAAAAGAACCTTAGCCTTTCCATTCGACAATCCGACTCAAATCACCTACTGCATTCTACACGTGGTTGTGTTTCGTAGAACCTAGAGGTTGGCGGGCGCTCCTTTAAATTTCCCGATCGATCAAGCTGAAGGAGGTGGTAATAGCACGAGCATCGCCATAACGGTTTTCCTTGCTGAGGGCCGCCTTGTCAAGAGCTTGCTGGTCTCTAGGCCCATATCCAATTAAATCCCATTCGTTTTTATAATCTGACTAAAAATTAGTGACAAATGGCATAAAATTGGAAAGCAGTTGCTGACTTACCGAGAGGGAATAGTGGTCCCCAAACTCGAGGGGTAATAGTGACTCGATTCAACGTTTCGGTGGATTTAGCGTCGTTTGATGGAGGTTTGGGGCTGGAGGGAGGAGTGACTATGGGGCTGGGGTGGGTGATGGCGAATTCCCAGTCCATTTTCTCGTTCTGGCGAAATTGGCTGGACATTTTCATATCCTCAATAATGGCCCTGATTCTTCTTCCAGGCTTGAAGACGGTGGACTTGGAGATACTGGAGTCATGGGGGCCCGGTGGGGAGTTTATGCTGGAAAATTTGACTCCAAGTTTCTCGTACTTTATCTTCTCCAAGGCAATTCTTTGGGAAAAGTTCAGACTCAATCCACGAAATTCGTCGTATTCGGGATCATTCTTTCGGTTCTTCTTCCTACGCATGTGGTGTAGTTTCTCTTCCCAATCGTGGACGAGATGACGGCGAGCACTGGCCCCGGTGTAGAGACCACAGTCACACTTTTGGGGAAAATCTTGGGTAATGCCATTATGAGTAAGGGTTGTGTAATGAGTAGGGTGAACAGACATAGTGAAAATTGTTTGAAGGATTTATGAGATCGTAGATTGTTGAGTTTAGGATCGAGTGTTGGGGGATTGGGATGTTTGGGGGTGAAAGGAAGTGGAGGTGGGGGGAAGAAAAGAGAAGAGAAGTAAACAAAGTAGTGGTTGACGACTGCGCAACAGCGTAACAGAGAGAGCAAAATCGCAAGTGCGGGCTCTTCTCTTGGAGGAGGTCCGCAGCCGTCTTTCAGTCTTGGTGTCCGTCATTTCTGCGTGCGTGAATACATGAGAGACTGTGCTACAATTGGACTTCTTACTGGGCAATCCAACCATTTGATTATTTATTAATTCATTAATAATTAATTGAATCTTTAACTACATCATAGCTCATACCTTCCAATGCCTAAGAGATACTTTTACTGACAATCAACTAGCACCGAGGCGAGGTGCGCAATCCCGTCATGTTAAGCACCAGACGCCTTCAAAACAAAGGATTGCCATAGTAACAATCACTGTTATCAATACGTAATCGTGTAAGTCGCGGCCCATAGTATGGGAAGCTCGCACAGGGGGAGCGACTAATTCTTACGAGGGAAAGCAAGTAGTACTAAGTTAGATCCATGGATGCAGATGCGAGCTACTGGTCCGCTAACTGTACACTTGAGTCTACGAATAAGAGCCTACGGTGGGTGGCCTATTTGGATGACTCGCGAGGTGGTTTCTGTAGTTGCTAATGTCAATGATCGTATTGACGGAAATAACTCCGAAGAAGCTGCCAATGATTTTTCCCCAATTATACCACGCCCCGATACTTGAACACCGAGAATGATCTAGTGGCTAATAGTTATCACTCTCAGTAAACCAGTGATGGCCAGAATTGTCACGGTTAACATCCCGAATGTCTGTTTGGCTTTCAACCTAAAGTTATCTAGAGAAAGATCTTGAGTTTCAGGTATTTATTTATTATATATTTCTCAAGTAATTTTAAATCCCAGGATACTGTGTATAGAGTTTTCTAGGACAATGGGGAAACTTGGTTAATGGACAATGGCGACTTTTCAGCCAACTATAGAGCTGATAGTCAGCCAAGGCAAAGGGGTCGATGCACTTTTGTTGGTTTTGTTGGTTTTGATTGGCCAATTCGCCATCGAAAAAGGTTCTTCATTGTTCCGGAAGAGACATTAGAGCTTAATATTTATTGTTTGGCCAAATCAGAGGGACCAATAGGCCGAACAAAGGCTGCGCTCGAATTAAAGCACTACCCACATTTAGATTTCTAAATACCGCTGAGTATAGAGATAATTCCTAATACTATCTAAAAGAAAAGGACTTTGATTTTCTTGTATCCTGAAGGAACAAATTTGTCACCACCATGGTCTCGGGATGTTGAGATCAATACTAATTGTAAGAGACTACCGATTCGTTCAGTATTAGGCGACCCCAAAACCTCTTTAAAATAGACACTCTAGTGAATGATAATTAATAAGAAACACTATTTGAGCGTCTAAATCATTAAAAAGAATATTTATGAAGCTTTGAATATTTAGCTTTTTAAACCATGATAGCGAAATTGTAACTAGACATATCACGACGACACTTTGTCCTATTCGATATTGGCTATATTAGATAGCGAGGTGAACTCTAATGTATGTAAATCTCTTATTTTACGACTTGCATCTCTTACATTTTGCTCTCTTCAGATCTTCACTCCAAAACGGAGGTCGAGATGAACGAGTGATATATCATGACTCATATTCAAAATGTGGTTAGAGTAGGTACATGTACATAAGCGTCAAACGAAAAAGACTTACAAAAAAATTTATTCATTTAAAATATATAACGTTCTTGTAGAGCAAATACCAATCAAGATATATGAAATACTATACATAACACATAAATAATTGCGTTTATTTGTTAATAAGACCTTTATAATTTATTTTCATTACGCTCTGGTTGTTGCAAATGGCCTTGTGACTTTTGTTTCCACTAGCTATAGTACATGCGCTCTTATAACGTATGGTCTATTGAGAAATGAGGCCAGTTAGTTTCAGCGGATGACAGTTTGTCAGCTTGGCCATTTGGCCTCATAAAAATTTCGAAAGTACCTCTTCGGCTATTTTTCGGGTTCTTTTCCTTTGTGAAATAGGGGCTCCCGTAACTAATAACTCGCCACTGAAGTATGAGGGAAAGAAAGAACAAAAATTATTCGGGAGATTTTCCAGCGCCCCCTTCAAATCACCTAACCTCCCCATAAAGATATCTACCAAGGTATTTTCTATAACGCTACCAAACCGGTCCTGCTCATCACAAAGAAGGAACGAAAGTTTATACCCTAATAAAGAGATTATCTTGAGGTATCATTATAGCATGTAATTATTGTAGTGTCGGCAAATATTTAATGATGCTCCAGGTCGAGGCTAACAAACAACCCTAGCGCCCCTCTCCCTAATTACGACCATCACCAGTGTCGATGCAAACAACAACTAAATATACATGTATGTATTGTAGAGCATCGTCTCAATATATATTCTATAGGACCTATGACGCTCACGGTGAGAATGTTACTTCTCTCAACTGTCTTGCCGTTGTTCTATCCAGGAAGTCCACGTTCAAATGGGGCAGCAAGCCACGTTATAC